CAAATGATAATATCAAACAGACATATACAACTGATACGATATGAAGTTTAACCGTTCTCATCGTGTCTGTATTCATGAGGAAGGGGTCAAAACATATGTGTACAGCGTAAGTCAACAGACTAAAATAATATGTGTCATGTTTGTTTAAACGTAAACACAAATTTACAGTTTTAATAAAAAATACTAAAAATATTTAGTTTAACTACGATGTTAAGTTTACATCATAATACCTGTAATTTATTGGTGAAATGTAAGGGGGCAAATGCCCTCTCTTGCCCCTTTCTTCGAGCGCCTATGTCTCTATTTCAAATATACTCTATAGAGAGAATTTGTCTCCTAAAGTCAGTAGCAGTGGTGGGCAGAGCACAGATAGCCCATTGTGTAGCTTTGTGCTTAACTTCAAACAAACATAATCAATTCAATTAATAAAATAATGAGAAATAACGAGACGGAATTATCTCCCTTTTTAATAAATTTTGTTTATACTTTCCTGTATTTCAGTTTTTAACAAAGATCTGTTTACCTTTTTCATCCACTTTATAATGGGAAAAAGGAGTAAAACAGTTAAGATATTTCGTTATACAAGTAAAAAATAGCTTGACTAACTTAAAACATTAAAATGTGGGAATAAAACGTATTTTTATGCTTTTCATTTTATTACTCAGTGTTCTGAAATGACAAAAAGTATTTCTAGTCATCATAAACTTTTGAAAGGTCTTTAATAAGGAGTACTGAAAGTGATTGTTTTCAAAACGACAACTAACATACATATATAATTTGTAATGAAGGATAGGTGATGGGGAATTAGGTTGTATCACAAGAAACAAAACTAATATGCTTATAAAATAGAGGATTAGCTTTCATACAACTTTTGTACATTATGTGCATATGACTATTTCAGAAGAGTCTATATTTCTTATTTGTGTAACAATATGTGAAAACAAACACTGAATTTATCACGAGACATCGTACTAAAGATATGCTACTACATAAATAAATGAATAAATCATTCAATGGAAACTAAACATGTAAGATTTCAGTTAATAGGCTCAGAAAAACTACTATTCCAAAACAGATGTTTTCTCACACAGATTTTGAAACAATGCTATGGTAACATGAATTATCTTTTCACTTAAGAATTATACAAATCGTTAAATACTTTAATAAATGAAGTAACATTGATGAATGATATAGTGTTTTGATCAAGACTTTGTTACATTTCCAGCCAACCCAATGAGCTCTGGTACTGGACAAAAGGTCTTGTCAGCAGCTGTGTGCATTGCAAGGTGTATACAGTCCACATGCTGTTGCGTCCCTTCTCATTGGAAATCCCTAGTAAAGGGTCAGTAAAGAAACACTTGTAAAGAAATATGACCAGTCTTATTGCCATATGTTCATCTGTTCCCACAACTCAAGAAAGTCATCGTACATATAGTGTATATTAATCATAAGTTTTTGTTATGTGAATTAAATATAGAAGCAAAAACTATACTACAGTACGTTAAATATGTACTAAATCATATAGAACACAATCGACTATACTCGTTCAATATTTATAAAAACGAAACATTAAGTGTGATAAAAACTTTTAAGCAGAATGTTAAATGCGTTAATAACACTATCTGCCTATAGAAGCATGTGTACTACAGTTACGTATATAAATTAAAACTATAAACATAGGTCGAGACAAGTTGAAATCTGTATGCAATTCTAAGGAAGTAACATTATCCACCTATAGAAACACCATCTGCCTTTGTAATACAAAAAATTATAAATGAAAACTACAGTAAAATGAAATATTGAGACAAGAACACCTTTATTTTTATGCTAAACCAATAAAAAATATAAATATTATAGTTACATTTTTAGGATATATAGTTAAATCAAGACATTGATGAAGTAATCACAAGTTGAAACACGTTGAGACACTGAGCTCATCATCCTATTGAACTATTTATAGAAAAACCATCCGCCCTGGAGCCCAAACCTTAGTAACACAATTTGCCAAGTAATACCATCCACCTATATAACTTTAGCAATACAATCTACCTACTAACACTATCTGCCTTTGTAGAACACACGTAATACAATTAAATATATAAATGAAAACTGTAAACATCGCAGCACTAACCTTAGCAACACAATTTTCCCGTCGCCTATAGAACCTTAGTGACATAATTTGCCTAGTTTCGTTTGGTTTGTTTTGAATTTCGCGCAAAGCTACACGAGGGATATCTGCACTAGCCGTCCCTAGTTTAGCAGTGTAAGACTAGAAGGAAGGCAGCTAGTCATCACCACCCACCGCCAACTCTTGGGCT